CAATGTTGTCTTTTGCAGTGTGAAATGCACAAACAAACCATAAACCCTTAATATCATTATTCAGGATACATTTTGTAAGTTATATTGGGGAATTACGCATGGTACATTCATTTTAATTGCCTCATCTATTACGTTTTGAAAAACAACTCAATTTACGGTGACATTTATATATTTACATCAAGTAATTATTTCTATTAATTTACGAGTTTTATCACTTGCAAAGCAGCAAAATTAACCACAGTAAAATAGAGTTGTGAGAATACATAAAACCATTTTGTTATACACTAGTATATGCTCACTTAATGTATGCCTCAAAGAAATTCATTTTTTTGTGTACACAAGTTAGTCGAACTATCAAATGTCAATACCGCCGCCAATCTTCTTTTGGTAAAATTACATTCACCACATCCATCTCCGATAGAGGTACATGTTGAGGCAAAAACATTTGTAGTGGTTATAATGAAAGTAACAACACAACATTGTTGTATGAACTAGTTTTATTCCCATTACCCAGAGACGGAGAACACATGGGGCATACCACACATGTGAAAGAGTCGTCATTGGGAAAATCAGTACACTACTTTAATGCTGAATTTGCTTCAGAAGATTCATACATGATATTTTCACTCAATAAAAAAAGTAAGGCAAACTTTCTGACCTAGGAAAACTCCACTGACATATAAAGCACATACATATTTTATGACGATGCATTGTTATGATGAGGAAACAATGGATACGCCGAAATAGGACATCTATATTAATATTGAAAATATTAAGATCCTCACAGTAATATTATTACAGATGTTTTATGAAATTAATTCAAAACAACTGTGCAGGAGTTAAGTAGACGATCACGTTTAACAGTGATACAAACACTGGTACCAATTTTTATTTGCCTTATCACTGCTGAAAATATATAATTTGTAGTTCTGTTAAATGTCCTAATTCCTTGCACATAGAGTGACATCCCTTTATTTGTGTAAGGCCATTGCCTAGAAGAACAAAATTGTTGTTCATAGTAACAGACTATTAAAATACTGTACAGTTTACGAAGTAGGATTTTAATTTTCTTTTCTTCATCATTTTGTTTTCAATGAACCAAGTTATTTCTATTACAATCACAGACTTATAAATCGGAAAGAATTACAACCAATTGATAGTTAGTCATGTTCAGGACATCCAAGGAAAAAAAGAAACAAAAATTGTAAAAGTTTGAGCTTTATCAAAAATATTGGTAAATTAGATTAATATCGAAAACATGTTTTCCTGCAGCCTAATTACATGCGTAGTTGCTCAGCTTTACAAAATACAGTACAAATGTATATAAATAGCCTGGGCTTTGTCTGGATTTTTTGAAGTGTTTTAAATTCGATAATTAAAATTACCCTTCCATCTCAATGTATTTTATATTAAAATATTTAGTAAATCCTGTAAACAAATTCCCCTTTACAAGAGGGAGAAGAAACATGGTTCAAGCATTCAAGAACTGATTGTTAAGCATAAAAGCTTTATACAAAATAATGCCATCCTAGCTAGCTAACAATGGCAAATATGATATATCCTCATTTATTGACCTACTTTCTTCATTGCTCTTCAGATTCTATACTATAGTAGTTGCATCTGCGCACAGCTTCTCAGCATGGGCTAAGAGGCTCAAAAGGTCAGCTCATGCTACAAGATGTGCAGCATAGATGAAAAACAAAGTACTGTAAACGCATTAATTATTTGCTGGATTTTATGTTTGTTAATTCGCAGAAAATTTTGCAAAATTAAATTGCTTCCCTGCTAAGTTTGTGAACTTAAATCCCTGTGAAGACATCAAAATAGTGAAATCAAATGTCACTGAAAATAACTGATCATACGGTACTAGCTAAATCTGAACCACTTTTAAACCCTAGGAAGGCTAACAAAGTATGCAAGAATGGTTAGCCTGGGTCTCATAGACCACAAATAAATAGACTGGCAATGGTTTTATAGAGATGTCAATTGGCCTAATCCCAGGTGAACGCGTGTCTCGGCTAAACTGATGGCTCATGCTTTGCCGAATTTTGCCAAATGGCCAGTACATACTCGAGAATCCTCGGTCTCACATGCATTTCAGTCATTCTCTGTATTCAGTTCAGATCACCTGGATTAGAAAGTATTACGTCAAGTTACTGAATAATATATTTTTTAGCCAAAATTTAACTTAATAATTTAGGAAAATAACAATTATTATTATCTTTATAAATGTAGTTACAAAATGTATGTTCTTGAATGTATAATCATGGACGCACTGTACTATTAATGGTAAAATCGTATAATGAAGGAAAAGGAAAAACTTTTATGGGCAACACAACAATTTTTTTCTCGATAGTTACTCAAGTTTTCTAGGATAGTTCACGTCGCCATGTTTACAATAAAGCTGGTTTTATGTTATTATATTTCACCGATCATGTTTAAAAATTAAGCCTTTGAAAATCAGGAAAAAAACTGTACTGGTTAACTAAATCAAGGCAAAACTAATATAACGGTCTCGAAATAGCACTGACGAGATGTTTTGATGTTTGAACCTTTAAAGTGTTTTTAATTTTTGAAGTCTTGTATAATAATTGTTCGTGGGCATAGCACATGATTAAAAGTGTAGAACTATTTTTTGTCGCTTGAACAATGTGATATGCTCTGAAAACTCGCTTGTGACAGTGTTGCTTTTTCAACACCAATGGCCTGAATTCTAACAGTTGTTGTTTACACTGTTTTTGTTTCAGGGAAAAATTACCTTCATTGTTTGTTGCACAGGAA